TCACAGATTTCCCTGCCTCTGCCCTCATCTCCGCATCAAGTCTCAATACCTGCAGTTAAATTGTGAGTCACATCTTGTCACTTTCCTGCTCAAAACAGCTCCCAACTCACTCCAAGGAAAAGTGAGTCCTCACTGTGGCTCCATCCAAAGCCCTAACCTGCGTGCACAGTAGGCTCCTCATTCATCTCTGCCTACTGCTTTCTGCTTGTTCCCTCCACTCCAGCCATGCTTGTGCTTCAGGCCCTTGGCAATTCCCATGTCCTCTGCCTGGGATGCACATCCCCCAGCCCTCTGCCTCGCCAGCCCCTTCATTTTCGTTTCCTTCACATCTTCAAATGTAACCTACTACCCTGAGGTGCATCTGTCTAAAGTCTTAACCCCTTTCCCTGCTTTTTCCCCCTTCTTCCCAACACTGATTACCATCCCACACAGTATGTAACTGACTATCATATTTGTTGTTCCTCTGCTTTTTTTCTCATTATAGAAAGTAACAAGGTCAGGAACAATTTTTTGTCTCTTTTGTTCACTACTAATTATTGAATAACACATAGCAGGTACTCAAATATTTGCCGAATTAATGAAATAGTATGTGGAAGAGGGAAGATGGGTTAATCAAGCACTTCTGAGTCCTTTATGTGTATCAACTCATGAATTCTCAAAAAAAACCCAATGAAGAAAGTACCATTATCATTTCTACTTTGTGGCTGAGGAAAACAAGGTGGTCAAGTCACCTGCCCAAGGCCGCAGAGCTTGGAGGTGAAGAAGCAGACCTGGAGCCTGCATTCTCATCCCCTATCCTCTACTACCTCTTACGGAATAGATAGTTCTTCTATCATAGGGTGATGTAGGGACTAAATGAGCTAGTTCAGGGAAGGTTTTTAGAGCTGGCAGTGGTAAACACTCCACAAGCGTCAGCTGTATCTGCTGTGCACACTAGGAGACCCTCATATCTCAGCTTGAGAAGTACAGGCTTAGGAAATGCAGGAAGACTGGTGCAGAGAACTGAAAAGCAGTATCAGAAGTATGTATGTATGAACTAAAACTTCATTCAATAAAAAAGTTGCAGAATAAGGGAAGGTTTAAAGGAGACAAACTTTGAGATCGTAACTTAACTGGCACCGGCAAGCTTTAACAAGTAGCTTTCTATGCTTAGACACATTTTCTTCAAGAATAAAGAGGGGAATACACCCCATACACTAAATAAACCCAAAACAACAACAATAAACACTAACCTGTGTTTCACCTTAGATATGCATGTCAGAGGTTGTTAAATACAGTAAGATAACCAGAAAGGTCATGGTTCCCTCTAAAATAGGACAGACTCTTCAATGTAAACTGAAATGTGGAATTCAGTATCCAGACCAGTGGTCATTCTTTCATTTGGTAAAACCCTGACTTCATAAACATTTATGCAAATGGTATTAAGAGATACAAGAGATCTGGGACCAAATGAACCCGAAGAAAGAGTTTTGGGAGTCATTTATATTAAAAAGTTTTGAAAACTAAGGGTGGACCATTTCTTGAGGATGAGAAAGTGTTTGTCAACGGAGAATACTGTAATTAAGTATATGTTAAATCATTCCCTTTCCACACTGCGGAGTACAAACATGGGCCACAGAGAGCCCCTAAGCACAAAGTGATTGAAGAGTCAGAGGAGGAGACTCAGCTCTCCAGGACGATTTTAATGGATGGAATTTCCCACCATTATAAGAGTATATGGAGCCCTGTCTGCAAAAGAACTGCAACTCAATTCCCAACCTCTGGTCAGTTAACTAACTGAACAAGTAATACTTTCCTCCTTAAGCAGAGTAAGCATAATATATTTAAAAATAAACTACCCGCTTTTGGATTTTACAATTTTTTTTAACTGACAGGTACTAAATTTTATAAACTCCTAATTTCAGAAGTCCAAAGCCTCCGACATCCTATTATAATATACACTCAATATGTAACTCATTATATTTATTCACACCTAGAGAATCTCACATTTTGTTCTGCTCAGTTAAAAAAAACCCCTGCAATATATTCACAGTTCAAACTAGGAACCCTGAGGAAAATCAGTGACAATACAAGAGTTTTGTTATTAAAATCTGTATTATGAATTACAAACCAAAGTGTTCTTTATCCTTATCATGCTACGGCCAAAAACTGAAAGATCTGAAATGGCAAATTAGCCTCTGGTTACCACATCTGTTATTTTTTTAACCAAAACCAGGGTACTTTCTCTAATTTAAAACATTTATTCTTTGAAACTGATAAAATATATTAATGTTCATACTTAAATGACCTAGAATCATACTTTCTTACCATCCTCTAAAGTGTTCTGTGTCACATGGTCAGACATCTGGCTGGCTCCCATTGGCATATATGCCACTATGTAGAAAGTATAATTGCTGGCAGGTTCTAAGTCATCAATAATATAATGAGTTGTGTCATTTCCGATGACTACTTGGTACTCTTCATTATTTAAACCTAGATTAAAGAATCAGTGTTTTTAAATTATGAACATGCAAAAGAAAATTAAGACCATCACCATTTTCTCTTACTATAAAACACTGGTCCTTGGGTCTCTTTGCTATCTTTAGTAACCCTTTAAAAAATGTGAATAAGAAGGTCTTTATTTTTCAAAAGTAACCACGTCTTGTTACAAACTACTAGTTAGAATTTTTCCTGAATACATCAGACTGAAACAATTATTCTTCTCTAAATTTCATTTAACATCTAGTCTAAACCCATAGCAGAGACAATGTACAGCACTGACACAACAGAGTTTAACACTACAGAATACTGTAGTTCATAACAGTGTAAATTTTACTTGCTGAAACTCATGGTTTCTTTTTTCTTTTAAACACAAATGGAGAGACAGTAGGGAATGTAATGGCTCTACTCTTTATAAAACCAAACCAAACCAAAAGTAGTCCTGCAAAAGATCTCATTTTGCCCTTAGAGATTCTATTAAATTTGACTGACACAAGTTGTTCTTTTATTTATATTGAAAGCAAAAGAACTAGGAGGCATAGAATGTGCTTCAAAATGTTTTGTTCCACAACGAGTTTTCTATTCCCCCCCAAAGAGGAAAAAAAAACATTCTCAGCAATTCTTAATAAAATATGCATGGCAAGGTATAGAAGAGGATTTGTCTTTGTGGGGTTTAATTCCTACCGAGTAAACCTGCCAAGTGGAACAAGAGCCCTGGCAGCTAACTGTGCTTTGTGAACAATTCACGGTAAATGCACGTCAACTTAATCAAAACTCTCTAAGGAAGGAGCCCCTTCTCTCCACACTGGATTTATAAACAAAACAGAAGGCAAATTCCACTATTAAGTTTTCCCACATTTCTGAATTAACTTGATAGCATTTTAATTAGACAAGATTACAGGCATTTCACAACAGACTGGCTAATGGCTCGTTAATTAGGAACTGCACAGTACGATTTCTGACCTACTAAACAAGGTCCTTGAGTTCGAATTAAAAAGCCTTGTTCCGCCTTTGAATAGACCTCTGGGCTGCATGTGGAGGCTCTAATGAAACAACCATAATAGCAAACAAGAGTGGTCTCCACCAAAACCAGCATTCCTTTTACCTTCCTAAATCACTCAAAAGGGAATTAACATACTCTAACATGCTCAGTTATCAGACTTTCATTCTTCTTGCTACCATGACCCCTGATTTAAATTCAAAATATTCCTTTCCAAAATACTGCTCCAAAGTACAAAAAACAAACAACAACAAACCACCTGTTTCTACAGACAGTTTTATTACATCACCATTCTTTGGGTGTTTGAGTTTGCTTTTAATATCTGCTGTATAAAAGGTAGAATGTTTGTGTAGACAACTAACATCTGTAAACCTCTGCTAAGGTTTCTGTGAGAAATCAATAGCAAAATCTCTAAGATTTATAACTAGTTTTTCCTTTTCCTCTAAACTTTTTCTTCCCAAAAGAAAATATGAGGATAAAGAAGATTCCAGAAATGGAACTGAATGAAAATTTTAAGACAGATTTGATTTTGACTTTTATATTATCAATGAGATACCAATTAAGAATGTCCTGGTCATGTAATAAATGAGGTATCAATTAAGAATGTCCTGCTCAATTTTTAGAGTTCTACAAGATTTCAGAAAATATTCAAAATATGTAAAATCATACCGTGGAGAATCTGAAAGTGTTTACTTCCTCCTCCCTCCAAAATAACATGCTATCGTGATTTTGGCTCACATTATTATTTTATCAAGCAGTTACACCATGGTTTCTATGTAACTGCATACTTTAACTGGCATTTTAAGCCTTAAGTAAGGAATTTATACCTTGGCTGAAATGAAATTCCTAAGTACACCACTCTGTAATGTTCAGCAGGCAGAGATGGTACTTACTTCTAAACAGAAAAATCTTAAACTATACTTACGTACACAAAGTTAACAATACAAAATTAGCAAAAAATTGACATGGAAGTGATATGTTAATTATTTTATTAAAAAAGGTAACTGCCATAGAACTTCAAAAATATTTTGTGGATTATGTAAGACATCCTTCATCCTGAAAACTATCCTTGGCAGTAAGCAGCACTTGCAAACAAACACTCCACAAATTGCTTACCTTCTGCTTTCATGTAGTGCACGGAATAAGCAATGACTTTGTCTGAATTATACAGTGGCCTCTCCCAAGCTAAAAGGATGGCTGAACTTGACATGGTTTCAGCATGCACATTATAGGGAGCGCTGGGTCTGTCTTCTGACATTACTACAGTCAGCCTGGCTCTAGATAAAACAGATCCCTGGCTGTTCTCAGCCATGCACTGATAAATAGCATCATCTTCAGGAATAATCTGGTTAATTACCAATTTACTGAGGAAAGAAAAAAAAATTTCAGTGAAAATTCTAAGTATGACGTAAAAATAAAGCTGAACTATCGTTAAGTGCACTCTTAATTTTAAATGACAAAAGCTACTAAGAACAAAAAACTGTAATCAGCCCTACTAAAAAGCTATATGAATTGAAATTATTCTTATTTTCTGAGTCTATATAAGTAAATACTTGTGATATCCAAATTCTGTTCACTTTAGATGACAGCTTAATCTTTTTTTAAAATTCAGCTTTTATTAAGAAGGAATTTTAATATGTAATAGCAACTAATTTCTATAATATTGCAATGTTACATAAGATTCAGGTGTTTAAAGTTTTGTTCAACATATGAGAATGGTAGAAGAAGATTCATACTTATACTAATAAAAACAAGTTCTTAAAATCATTAAGTTTGAACTGTTGAGGAATTCTCGGAGACTTAATTATTTCCTTCTAAATTCCTCATTTTATAGAAGACAGAACTGAGACTCCAAAGGGTTAATATGCTTACTAATAATTTAGCTGGTGGCTTATCAGGACTAGAACCCAGGTCTGGGGGACTGTCCTACCAGTCATTTCATTATAATCTACCACTTTCACAATCCATATATAAATACAAAAGGAATTTTGGCATGCTGCTGTTAATAGTCTCAAGTTAATTTCTTATTTATTTTACTTCAGTTTAAAAATACCCAGGTAAGTTAGATATTTGATATTATAATTATAATCATTTCACATAAGAACTACTAAAGCCACTATATCTTATCTACAACAGTAGCAAAATGACTTAGCCCACCTGTTGTACATCTTAATTCTACCATTTGAATGTATCCTCCTTCCGTTTTTCAACCATGACATTTTGGGTGAAGGGATTCCTTCTGCCTGACATACAAATCGAGCAGTGCCAGCTCGAGGCCTCGTTAAACTTTCTGGCCATTCAACAAATGAAGGAGGAGCTATTTTTAAAGAAAAAAGAAAAAAGGAAGTATTTTTGTGATCCAAACAAGAATGATATAAAGAGTCAAGGAAGAGTATAGCAAATGACACAAGTCCCATCCCTGAAAACATGTGATGTTCTGAGCCTCCTGTCCACACCCCCACATAGATCCCTCCAGACGCCTTTTCTCTGCATTGCTCAGTTAGATGCCCACTCCCTCCAGGCTTTCTCGATTGAGGCCATCTACACAGACACACTAAAAACGTGTGTGCCATAATCCTACTTAATATGCAGCCACTTGCGAATACATACAGATGATAGATCAAAATTTTAGATTTGTCCATGGGTATATGAATTTGTGGGTGGGTAAGAAGAAGATAAAAGGGAAACTTAAATAAAAAGGAACATCGTGTTATAAAAGCAAACAGAATGGTGACTTCAGAATGACTCTAGCTACAGTTTAACACAGGTCTTTAATTCCCTCCTAAAATTCATCACTGGATTACAATATTTTGTATCAACCTTCATATCAGTGCTAGTAAATTCAAGAAAAGTGGGAGTTAGCTATGAGATAAAACAGCAAATGTGAAAGTATAAGATTTTCCTGAATGCAGAAAGAAAGAAAACATACCTAACACAGTTAAAGTTGCCATGGCAACTGTAAAGTTGCGTGTGCCTGGGGTGGTGGCCCGACAAATGTACACTCCAGCATGTTGTAGCCTGACATCAGATATCATGAGGTTACCGTTACCAAGCACCCGAGTGTTAAAGACATCAATGGACTTGTGATCTATTTCAAAGAGAAGGCTTCAGTTAAATCAGTGTAACATACAATCTAAATTTTTTTCCTTTTTCAGTTTCATTATGTAGAATTGTTACAGTTTGACTGCACATATACACCATATTGCATGTAAATACATACATACAGTACACGTACACTGCACATTTTCTTTAGTTTTCATATATGTACTAATTATTGTTTCTAAGAACAGATTAGATCTCATATGATCTAAAATTTTGTCAAAAGATCACTATCCAAACAATCACTATCATAAAAAGTATAAAATTTCTCTACGCTAAAATCTTTCCTCTACACACTGAAATACCGAAAAGTTTGTATGTAAAATAAACATGTTATCAGTTTCATCGGTATGAACAAAGTTGAAGGAAAATACTTCTTCTTCTAAGACTTACCAAGACGGCTCCAAGAAATGATCGGTTTGGGATTTCCCGTGGCCACACATTCTAAAACAACAGTCTGATGAAGAGATGCCGTTATGTTCTGTGGACCTGCTATAATGGCTGGTGTGTGGAAGGGCTTAGGCTCCTTCCCTTTGAGAGGGAAAAAGTAGAATATAAAAATAATTATAAGATACAAATAAAACAAGTTAAAATACTTATGCTGAAGTTACTCACTTTTTAAAAACAACCTTATTGAGAGGTTAACTCACCCATCTGAAGTGTACAATTCAGTGGATTTTAGTATTTTCAGAGTTGTAGAACTATTACCATAATTAATTTTAAAACATTTTCATTGCCCCAACAAGAAACTCCATTCCATCAGCAGTCACTCCACAATCTTCTCTCCCCACAGCCTGACCACCACTCATCTACTTTCTGTCTCTGGATTTGCCTATTCCAAACATTTCAATAAAAAGGAACCAAGTATTATATGGTCTTTTGTGACTGGATTCTTTTCACTCAGCATAATGTTTCAAGGTTCATTTAAGTTGTAGCATGTACCAGTACTTCATTTTTTATTGAATAATAATAATAGAACAATATTTAATTAAATGAGTAAGACACATTTATCCATTTATTGGTTGATGGACACTTAGGCTATTTCCACATCATCCACCTTTAATTGAAGTTCAGACAATAACTTAATGCTTTCACTAATCTTGTTAGGAATTTATGTGATACTGGGGAGAAGGGAAGAAGTCTTGACAGTGCTTTTGTCTTTATCCTTCACACCAAGAAGCTAATAGATACCATCTAAGATTAAAACACGGCATTTAAAATTTCATTTCAGACTCAGTGCTTAAAATTTTTTTTTTTTAAATCTTAAAGGACCTTTTAGGAAGTAATACCTCTTGCGAAGAGCAAACATTCATGTGAAGTTCAACAATGTCTTTAGGTCAGGTTTTCTACTACTACATTCAAGTAAATTGAATTATTTAAAGACAAAAACTATCATCTATCTTAATTCTGTTTTAATAAAATGCATATTTCTTTCCTCATATTCATCTCTGTAGCTAATTTCCCTTCTAACTATACTCAAGTATGGCAAACTATATGAAATTATGTTCATTTAATGTTAACAATGATAATTCCTGGGTATGGAACTGGGGACATTTTAAAACATATCTTTGTACATTTTACATTGTTTAGTGTAAAAAATAATTTAGTTTTACTTTTATAGACATCACTATTTATAAGAAGTAAGCATCATCTCCACAAATGGACATTGTAATTTTTCTTAGAACAACAAACAAAAAAATTCAAACTGTAAACAAGTATATCTTTATTGGCAATGAAGTGGCCACCTTCAGTGGAAACAGATGATTGTTATTTTTTTGTGTGCGTTTTTTGTATTTTATATTTTAAAAACAAAAGTAAAGTATTTACAAAATAAAAATTCTATCTTTCTTAAAGATGCTGACATTAACATATAAAACAAGTTAGTTTGAGAAAGTTGCTTAAACAGATAAAAATAGATTATAATAATTTAAATAAAATTGAAGTACTACTTTATGGCATACTTCTATAGCCAGAGAAGGAAAATTAACAGCTGGGCATCCATAACTTTGATGTAAACCCCACTTCTGTGTGGTACCTGGAATCACTGTGAGAGAGGCCTCCATGCTTTTACGTCTGTGGGCTACAGTAGCAGCAACACAACGGTAGTTTCCAGCATCCTGCTGGTCGACATCATAGATCTGCAATACTCCTGTTGGTAGGGCGGTTATCCTGTTATGAGAAGGAAGATGATTAAACTTTGCAGAAGATTTTATATTTTATCTTAACATATATTCTATGATACGAATTAACATACTCAACTTTTTAAAAAAGTGCCAGATGTAATACTTTAAAGATCTTCTAAAATATTAGTTTGATTGAATATTTTTATTTGGGTTTTATTTACAACTCTCTAAAACACGATTATGCTGTATGTGGTTTGTGAAATCTATCAGTGTAATTTTGTACAGAGTCTCACTTGACATTACAGCTTACATTTAGCTAACTGGTGGTCTAGAGCTTAGTATGATTTTTTTCAAATTCCTGACTTCTTGCCTATGTATTCTCCAAGATACATCTGAATACAAGTTTTGTTTTTAAAGCTTTTCCTTAAATAACTTTGTCCATCTTAGCGCTCTCTACCATTTCAGCAAATGATTTCTGTCAGCTTAGGAATATTGCTGCTCATTAGGACAGGAGTCAAACTTTTGAAGTTGCTGCCTAGTTCTTGACCTCTAAACTTTTATCACCTTCAGAGCACTAGGTACATGCATGCAAGTGAGCAAGTGTGCGTGTGCATGTGTGTGTACTGTAGAGGGGGCTGGAAAGCAGAAGGCCAAGATGGAAGTGGGCAACCACCACTGCACACATGGGAGACCCTTATACCAGCGCTACTATTCCTAGCAGTGAAAGTGTAATTCAGTTTCCTAAATCCTTGGACAGCAATCCAGGTACTCAGGTGGTCCCAAGGTTGGAAAAGATGTTTGAGGAAAGGAACAGAGTATTTGAATTCTGATCTGAACCAAAAAAAACAGGAACTATGTCCCAGGTACCAGAGACCCATAATCTAATTCTTTGCCTAACTTTGAAATGTCTTTAAAAAACTGGTTACTGCTACCAACAGTGAAAATGAGCTCTCCAACGGTCTTTCTCTCCTGTAAAGCTTTATGAAGTCCTTGCTACTCCTCTGTCACCTTTAAAGACATAAGCTGCATTTACCTGTCCATAGTTACAGGCAGAGTTGTCCGATTTAATTCCCATGTTATGACTGCAGTAGGGTTTGATGAAATCTTGCATGCAAATCTAGCAACTCCACCTTCTTGGACCTCAATAGAAATTGGCTGAACTTCAAATGCAGAAATAGCTATAAGATAAAGTTTGTTAAATTCAGAATATGTACATGTATTATTACACTATATTTAGAAATAACATTATTCTAGACATAATTTGTCAAATTTGAACTCCTACCCAGACATAAGGTCAACTTAGCAAGCACAAAGAGAAATTAAGGAATAATTTTATAAAACCACTGGGCAGTTGCCCAGCTAAATGAGTTTGGTCTTTTCCAAAATGAAATTCTAAAAAGCTTCTCAAGCAACAGGATTGTGTTCACAGGACTGTGAGGAAACAACCAGGATTAACTACTGCAGAGTAAGTCAGATTAAGGATTGATGGAAAAGTGGAAGGAGAGTAGAGATAAAACAAATTTGTACCATGGTACAAACTAAGGCATCACTGAAAAGTTTCGAGCAAGGGAGTATCATGATAATAACAGTGCCTGGGAAAAATTACTCAGGTACTGTCACATAGGATGGATCGAAAAAAGTAGTGTCTCAAGTCAAAAGGTCAACAGACTATTTAAATAGAAATGACACAACTGAGTGGTGGCAGTGAGAATGGAGAGATTCTACAGATACCTTAATGAAAACAGAGACTTGATTCTTACCGGACACAGATATCTCACTCCATGTTTGGAATCAAATGAAGTTGGTACTGATGGAGCAGAACAAGAAAGGAAAGAGGAAAGACACCTGTCTGATGAATAAAAGGTACACAGATTTGAGACTATCTTTCGACTTCTGTATTTCTAAAGTAGAGAGAAGTCTCGAAGTGTTGATATTTTCGAGAGAGAACTCTTCTTTACCATTCTCGGCAAGCCTCCAGCAACTGGTCATCAGCATCCTTGGTCTCACACTTTGACGGAGTCCAGACTCCAGGTGGTATTATGCCTTGCCTCCCCTCCACTAAGTCTTTCAGGATATAAAGAAAGGGCCCCAGTGATTGTTCAATCGATAAAGTGAGAAGTTGTAAGAAAAATAGAAGGAGTAAGGGCTAGATGACTTATGCCTCATTAGACTGGGAAGGGAAAAAGGTCACAGACTAAAAAATTCTGCCTTGGGCTTGACTTCATTACTTTGTAAATGGATCATGGGCCTTTTGAGGTACAGAATAAAGCCACTGAAAAAATTCTTAGGGGTATCTGCTTCCAAAAAGGGTGGAGTAAGGGTAAACGAATACTTTGTGTATGTAACAAAAAATTCCTGCTTCTTCAAGAACAGTGGTTTTCAAACTGCTGTTGTCAGTGAATCCACAAGGGTGAAAGCATTTGTATGATATCCAGTCTATGCCTTTTTCACTGTCATTTCTTTTGCATACATAGTGTTTCTCTTGAGTACATAGTGGGTAACAGAGCAATAGACACTGCAGATGCAGATACATGTGAGAAACCAGTTGCCTTCTGTCAAGCTAACTAAAGAGACTCACACAAATGGAAAACAATGTCACTCCTCTCACTAAAGTTTTTTGGAAAATAGTTATTTTTCATCAAATGTGTTATGTTAATATGCAACTGATTAATGTTCTCATTCAAAATTAATTAATGAATATTTTTAAAACTTCTCAGTTCTAATTTCTAAGAATAAGTATTAACAGACATAACCTACATAAAGTGAAGCTCTTTGGGGTCCTCAGTATGTTTCAGAGTGCAGAATAAGAATAAAATGTTTTAAGAACCATTGAATTCTAAAAATCAACATAATTTTTCTCTTTAATTGCTTCCGTAATCACTTTCTAGGATGTTAATCTATTTACACACATTTTCATTCTTTATCAGACCTCAGGCCCACTAACTGAAGCATCAGGAAACAGATGGTTATATTCATCTTCAAAATATTAAGTTCATACTCAGAACAGCCCAATTTCTCAATAACAATGAAAGCTTATCTTTCATTAATTAACTAAACTTTTCTCAAATACATTCATATTTTGGGTGAATTAAGACCTAAGTTTCAAAAAGTTTAATGCATGCTTTATGAAGTATTAACTGCTTTTATTGATCCCACATTTACCACGTGTGAGGGGGTGACCTTTAGCCTCAGTTGTCATTGATAATCCTGTCTATATTCAATTTACAGACTTCAAAGTGAGCATTTTTATCTTATTCTTTCCCAGCATTTACCTCTCCAGACTGAAATATCTAATACAGTTTAATTTTTATTCATAAAGCAGTGAACATTTTCTTCTTACCACACAATGAGTCAAGCACCTAATTCAGTACGTTTTATCTCACACACATATACGAGATAAATCTCTCACTATGTGTATCTATGTACATCAATATATAGCTCATCTCTGACTTCTCTCCATCCCTAATAGTACTCTTTGAGTCAGGCCCTTATCACCTACTGCCTGGAAGTCTTGCAGGAGCATCTTAGGTGATATTTTTCCTGCCAACGACTTAACCTTCGAGAGTGATGGTCATAAAATACAAATCTGATTGGTGTTGCTGATGAATTATTTAGTCCCTGCAAAGCTCTGTCACCTTGTAGTCAACCACCTAAAATTATGTTCCATGAACCCTGAACTGCTTATAATTTCTCTGAATACACTATACTTAATACCTCTGAGCATTATGTGAGGATTTCCTTCTCTTTCAAATATCCTAGGTCTCTTTGTCCACCTATGAAATCCTGTTGTCACTGAAAGCCTCGTTCTCCCGTCTCATCCCTTGGGAGGCTGTTCCTGACCTTTGTCTCTACAACTTCTGTACACGAAGACTTTTATTGCCACTTTTACCCCACAGTATTATTTATAATCGCTTATTCACAAGTCTTCCTCACATTCTACACACTGAGCTCAACGAGGGTGAGCAGTGGGCCATACTCTGCAGGATCCCTTAAGTCAGTGAATGGCACAGACTCGGCACTAAAGCAGTATTTGCTAAATTAAACTGAAATTTAAAAAATGTTTTCTAATTCTATTAGGTCTTTAAACAAAGTAACTAGAAACGTGGGCAATCTCCCTGGTACAAATGTCAAGGCTTGGGATGAGAAGAAAATAATACTTTTTATTATTTTGTTTGCTAATTCTAAACAATCCCTGACATTTTGGTGGTGTTATTTTTAGAGACAAAAATCTGTCCCTCCTTTCTTAATGGATTTTTATAAAGATTAAGTAAGCCAATATAGTGAGGGCTCTTTATATATTTATTGTAAAACTTTTTATCAGTGTTGTGGTTATTAAGAATAAAAATAATCACTCTGTTGCCTTGAGTAATTTCCCTCCAACCACTTAAGCCCTTGAGAGTCATTTTTTACTCTAAATCTCATCTAACCAATCAAACAATAATGATGCCTCTGAACGACTCCCTTTTCCTTCAGCAGTTCCCGCCTTCTTTCCCAGATGCGTTAAGTCTATGAAACCCCTTAGCTTTTCTATTATAAAAACTAAACTAACTTTGCACTTTAGGTCAAATGGGCTAGAACTGGTGTCATGAAAGTCTGAGAACTAAAAGATAAACAGATGTATCCTGTAACATAGCAAGGGCATTTGTTTATTTTTTATACTGTGTGTGGGGGGAAACAGCTTTACTGAAGTATAATTCACAGTGCATATAATTTACATTCCACAGAACTCACCCATTTAGAGTATATAATGCAATGGGTGTATTCACAGAATTTGTGACCATCTCGATCATCAATTTTAGAATATTTTCATCACTTCAAAAAGAAATCCCATATCCTTCAGTTATTACTCCCTAATCTTCCCATCCCTTCCCCACTCCGGCTTTACTGAGATATAACCGACATATGACATTGTGTAAGTTTAAGGTGCACAACAATGTGTACGTCTGCGGCCTGATACATGCATATACTGGGGAATGACGACCACAATAAGGCTGGTTAACACAGCCATCAAGCATGAGTACTTCTTATCCCACTCTGTTATTCATTAAGTTATGAAGCAAGTACCATAAAAAGATTTTTTTAATCCTTTATACTTAACATGTGTAACTTTTTGGTTCCTTTTGAAAATTCAGCTGGCTGGCAAAATGATTCTCCCCAGAGAAGACCAGGCCAGACACTCCCTGGGACTCTGGTCAGCACCTCTGAGACTGAAGAGCAAGAGGCACGCATGACTCAACAATAAATGCAAGTTGCCTTCTCTGGTTTTAACTCCTCCATCTGGGTGCCAACCCCATCCTCCACCCCCGCCTCTGGGAGCCTGATGTATCTGTGTTTCTTACATCTCTCTCCTTCCTGCATATTTAAACTCTTCTTCTCCTGACTCCTTCCCTCAGCTTATAAACGTGTCTAAGTCTTTCCCAACCTCAAAACACAAACCTCCAGGCCTCTCTTTACAGCACATACCCCTCGAGCAGCTATCCACTGTCTCTCTTCTCCGTGGCATCAAAACTTCTCTAAAGAGCGGTCTACTCTAGCCACCTCCCCTTCTCCCTCTCTGACTTGATGCCTCAAGCATCTAACCTGCATTCTTCCCCTATGATTTTGTTGAAACAGTGTCTAGGACACTGCTCACTCCTCCAAGTTCTCTGACTCCATCCTGTTCCCTTCCAGGGGCTCTCCCTCCTCCTTCTGCTCCCCCTTCCAGAGACTCTCTGTTCTTCTCTCTCTCCACATTCTCCTTGGGTGACCTCATCCACTTTCAGTTTCCTACTACATCCATCTGCTGCTGCCGAGTCCCAAACTACATCTCCAGCTTAGATCACCAAGCCCAGAGCTTCACACCCATGGCTCTATGCCTACCGGACACCGTCACCTAGAATCCACAAAACGTACCTCAAACTCATCGTGCCCAAAATGAAATCATCTTCCTTCCTCCCAGCCTGTATCTCTACCTCAGCCTGTCACACCGTTGTGCAGCTACTCACCTGAGCTAGACACTACTGACTCCTCCCGCACGCTCTTCAATCAATCCCCTGGTCCCACTGATTTTAACTCCTAAACGTGTATTAAATCCATTCCGTTATTCCTGTCCCGACACCTCTCACTCGAATCACCATAACAGTCTCTGTCTGGTCTTCCTGCTGTCACCTTCCCTCTCCCCCCTCAAAAAACGTCCTCC